CTCACTCACTCACTCACTCACTCACTCACTCACTCACTCACTCTGTGTATCTCCCTGAATCTCTCTCATTCTCACAACTGTTCACGCACGCATTCATTCGCTGGCGTTGTTGTTTGTGTTGTTGTTAAACACGCGTCTTGTTCTCAGAGGTCACTGTGGCAATCTTGGGTCCCGGGGGTGGGGTGGGGGGTGGGGTCTTGGTTCGGCCAGGAAAGGGGCCCGCGTGGCGTAGGGGGGGGGGGCGTTGTTGCGGTGCAGTAACACCAAGTGACGCCCTCAGGCTGAGGACCTGATTACTCACGCCCCCGCATCGCCCCCGCTTGCCCTGCTGCCTGCCCTGTAGCCTGCGTCCTGCGCCCTCTGGTCGCGGTCAAGGTCTGCCCCCCCCCCTCCACTCCCCCCTGCCCCTCTATCAGTTCGCGGTGGCGCCATTGTGCCCGCGACCCGCCGCTTCCGGCTGCTGCTCGCTCTGCTCGTCTGGACCGCGGGGCGACGCGTCGCGGGGCCGTCGGTCAGCCGCCGGACGGCGCTGGAGCAGCGAAGCGCCGCCTTCAAACTCATCGCGTGAAAATGTCCTTTTCCCACGGCGGACTGGTCTGGTTCGCTCCCGCCCCGCACGGCCCACGGCTGTCCAGCCTCAAGGCCGCATGCGCCAAGGACGCCCCAGGCGTCACCGTCACGTCTGCCGGCGGCCCGTGGCGTCCCAGGGCGGGAGGGTGTCGACGGCCCGTGTGGGGGCGGGGCGGGGCGGGGTGGGACGGGGCAGAGGAGGCTGCGAAGAACATGATACTCCTTGTGGCGCGCCGCGCAGTGCGGGTGGAGGCAGATGACTCAAGAGGGTCACCCGCCCGGGCTTGCGGGCCGTCACCCCGTGCAGGACCTTTCGTCACGGTCACCCCGAGCGCGCCTCATGCAGGCCGTCTCTCGAGAAAAGAGGGGGAGGGGCCAGTTCTCCTCTCTTATCCTTGTCTCGATTTTGTTTGTGAGTGCGCCCCTGTGTTAACGCGTTGTGGTCACCTGACGCCGCTTGCAGCCGCGGGTCGAGGCTTGTGCTTGTACTCGCGAATGTGGGAACGCCTCCCAGGAGCTGTTGCGGGGGCCCAGCCCCGCCCAGCCCCGCCCAGCCCAGCCGCTGCAGGCGTATTATCCCACTGGGCCGTGCCGCGCCGACCCGCCGACGGGCGATCGGGCAGCGAGGGGCGCGGCGGGGCAGGGCGCGGGGCTGGCTAGGCGGGGCAGCGCACCTACACATCTCCCAGACCCTCCCATATTTCGGTTTTCTAATCAATGGCCGTGTCTGTTTGCCTGTTCCAGTTCTCTTCGCCCTGAGCGCGGCGGCCTGGGTAAGTACCGGAGGCACGTGCTGTGCTCGGCCCGCTCCCCCCCGCAGCGCCCCGCTCATTGCCCTCTGTTGCAGGCCCAGGACGGGTACAACTACCCGCGGCCCAGCGGCCCCGGCTTGCCCTCGCCCGGCGGCTCCCCGTCGACAGCCCGGCCCGGGCCCACCACCCCGACGCCATTCGCTGACCAGCCCTCCGGCCCCTCGGGCCCGCAGCAGCAGTCGGGCCGCCCCACCTCCTCGGGTGGCTTCCCCGCCACTTCATCGCCGGGCTACTCGTCGCAGGGAAGCTTCCCGTCGACCACTGCTCCTGGCGGTTACCAGGGCGGCTTCCCCTCGAGTGCGGCCCCCGGTGGCTTCCAGGGCGGCTCCCCAGGCTACCAGTTCCCCTCCACCTCTGGGCCCGGCGGCCAGAGCGGCGGCCAGAGCGGCGGCCAGGGTGGCTACCAGTACCCCAGCCAGGGTGGCTTCTCCGGTTCGACCCCGCGTCCATCGCCGTTCTCTACTACAGCCTTCCCTACGTCTCCAGCTAGCAGCGCGCGACCTGGATACTCCGGTTACAACCAGGCTTCTCCAGCATCCGGCTCTGGCTCGTTCTCGACATCCCCGCAGCAGGGTGGCTTCATCCAGGCATCCCCGGCTTCCCTCAACTCCGCATCCGGCTTCATCCAGGCTTCCCCAGCTTCTCCTGCTTCCGGATCTGGCTCTTTCTCGACATCCCCGCAGCAAGGTGGCTTTATCCAGGCTTCCCCAGCTTCCCTTAACTCCGCATCTGGCTTCATCCAGTCATCGCCCTCGCAGACAGCATCGGGTGCGGAATCATTCTCCAACTCCCCGCAAAGTGGCAACACCCAGTCCTTCTCCCAGAACGGCTACAGCTCCGGGACCACCCCCCGACCGGGCCAGCAGGGAGGCTACTCCGCCGGTACCACACCATTCCCGGGACAGCAGGGCTTCAGCAGTCAGCCAGGGTACAGCGGCTCTCAGGGATCCTCTGCTTCGTTTGGTGGTAACCAGGGACCTCAAGGTCCTGTATCGGCGTACGGCGGTTCTCAAGGTCCCCAGGGACCCTCTGCTGCATTCGGTGGTAACCAGGGACCGCAAGGACCCTCTGCCTCATTCGGTGGTAACCAGGGACCGCAAGGGCC